AGGCTCCGGGCCCGGCATGTTTACACACATCAAGCCATTTCGCGTGATGAATTCACGGAGAGTGTTCCTTCCACGAAGCAGGGTGGGGAGGTTCACGACATGTTACCACATCCAACAATGGTACGTCCCTGGTCTCAAGTGATCTAAAGACGCTAAGGCCCTGAGAGACTGTGTGACCTGCCCAAGATGGTGAGCCCAGAGTCAGACCCCACGGAGAACAGGGGTCTCCCGACACCAGATCCCGGGATCTCTCTCCCGGCTGGAAATGCTTCCTCAGGACGGCCGAGGAAGGGAAACCAGAACCAGGCAGCTCTGACTTGAGTACAATGAAAGCCATCACCAAGGACTCCTCAAGCAGGAAGCGAACACATCGAACTCCCTCTTGGTTTCTGGGATCTCAGATCTTGGCCGTGAGTGACAAGGGAGCCTCCTGGTCTTCCAGATAACCAGGAAAGAGGGTGTTGTTGGTGAGGGAATGTGCCAGCCCACGGATCGGGAAGCCCAGGGGTGGGTGGACATCAGGCCCGGTTAACCCAGGGAGTCACAGTGTCCCCGATGCCACTCACGCTCTGCCCAGGCACCAACAGCATTGTTGGCTTAGGGCTTACTCCCTTTGTGGCCTCAAGGTGGCTGCCGGCAACAACGGGGCCTCCCTGTCCCTTCACAAGAGAGAGACTGACTTCCTGCAGCTCTGCTTTCCACTCAAGCCCCAGAACGGCTTCCCAGGTCCGTTCTAGAACCATCACTGCCAAACGGATGCACTACACCAGGACCAAGCTGGCCCAGCCTATGGCCACAGGTCTCTGGCTGGGAACCACTATGCTCTTGGCGGGGTGAGGGGTCGGCTTTTGGGGAGCTCAGCCTCAATACCCTCCACGGGGGGGGCAAATTTAACTGAAAACTGGTCTCCCACGAACAGCACGCCTCTCCAGTGTGGTCCAGGCCTGGGCAGAAGGCTGACAGGATCCCCACGCAGCTAGTTCAAAACACGAGGACAATTCCATGCCATGGAATCCACCCCACTGTTGGGTTCAGACAGGCCTGCGACAGTCTCCTGACCCTACCAACTCCTTGTCCCAGCCCCTGCTTCACTTGCTCAGCCACACAATCCGTGGGGATAGGCACATGGCTCTGAAATCACGTGGAATGCACAAGAATGGCAAGCATATTGGGGTCAGGGAAACAGAGGCATCTTTCCTCCTGGGGATCCAAGAGGCACGCGTATATGACAGAGGTTCACGGCTGAGATGCTCAAGGGAGGAAAAGCTGGAACTGGGGTCCTAGCAGGAAAGCGTGCCCTCAAGCACCTTCACCTTCAGGCACCTGGGAGTGACCACTGCCACCTCCCCTGGGCTGTGAGCCCCCACATCTGGCCCCTCACTGCCTGCCCAGAGCCACACCCAGCAGAGGGCAGGCCCCTAAACACTGCTACGTGAAGGGGGAGGAAGCGGTTTGTAGACCAGACTAGCCTAGAGACGCCCACTTCACCCACCCCAAAGCTGAGCTCTGTGGCTGCAGCAAGGGAACAGAGCCAGGAAGCATCCTTCCTGGGCCGTATCTGGCTCTTGAGAAACGTCTAAACACACAGAGACTTCCTGGCACTCTCCTACCCGTGGCGGGCCCTTTCTCAAGGGTCCAGGTCCTTCTACTGTCTTGAGAGACTCAACTGTACTGCTCTCCCCAACACCCACCCAACCTTTCAAAGTTCTCTCTGTCCCAAGGTGGTCTGCACCCATGCTTAGTGATGACAACAACACTCTATCCGCTGAGCTGAGCCAAGAGTTAAAGGGGGGGGAGGGGAAGGCTGCTCTGACTAATTCATACCAAGGTGTGAATGACTAACAAAAATCTAAACTCTTCCCAAAGTATTTGAGATTTTACAAGAGGAGATTCAGGAACTCAAGCAGGACTCCCACTGGCAAAGATGACATTTAACTCGAAACCTAAAGAATGAGAAGGAGTCGGCCATAAGAAGAGCAGGAAGGGGATATTCTAGATAGAGAACACAGCCAATACAAATCCTGTGAGGCAAGAAAAAAAAATGACCTGCTTAAGGAACAGGAAGTAGACCAGAGCCACTGGGGTGTAATGAGTGAGCATTTGTGGGCCAAATGACCAAGCGGAACAGATATTTGTGCACCTGGGTCTTCTGCAAATTCTCAGCATCTGTTATCTGCTCATGAAGTTCTTCCAGGAACCTTATAAATTATACCTGTGCCACTGATTAAATGCCTCCAACAGACCAAGCACTGTGCTGGGTATTTTCTGTATTAGCATAATCACTGATCATCCCAACAGTAATAATGTGAGATAAGTTATTATTATTTCTCCCTTTACAAAGGAAGAAAGTGAAGCTCAGAAACGTTTAATAACTTGTCCAAGATTACAAAGCGTGAGAAGAGTCAGAAGCAGGATTTGAATGTAAGTCTAACTGCCATCCAACTCTGCAACCTACCCTGCTCTGAGCACAAAATGCAAGATGCAACGCTGGGCAAGTCTGTTTTCGTGCACGGAGGCCAGAAATCTCATATAATTCTAACTCTAACAATTACAGTGATTGCTTCCTCTTCTAGACCCTACCCTCCCTGAGGACAGGAATTTCCGATCTCGCTCGTCTCTGCATCCCAGCCCCTGAGCCCTATGCCCTACACATCCTGGCACTCAGTTTGGGACGTGGAGAAGGTCAAGCCTCGGTTTCTTCTATAAAGTGGGACTGTGGGTATGCGAGACCTTGTGGGAGGCCCCAGCACAGGTAAGTGTTCAACATACTTCAGCTGTCAGTTAACAATTTACAGTTCCCAGGCGGCCCCTTCATCCACCATCCTGCCCGCCCCTCACAGACACCCTAAGACCGCAATTGTCGGCAGGATGGTACTATTCACTCCCACTCTACAGATGGGGAAACCAAGACTTAGTGAGAAGAGTTTCCCCTCAATAGCACAGTGCTCCCTTCTTGAATATAGGCTGCCCAAGGGCAGAATCATTGTCTAGTCCCCAGGGCTGAAACAGTGACTGGCACATAGTAGGTGTTCGGTAAATATTTGTTGAATGAATGAAGAGGAAAAAAAAAAACATCACTTCTTTCTCAAACGATGCACTTCCCCCTTGCTCTCCTCTGCTAAGAGCTGGTAAATCTCTGGAAGAAACTGGAAAGCGAGCCTCGGGGGGGGGTTGGGGGGGGTGGGGATCTGGCACTGGATTTTTTTTTCCTGGATCCCTCTTCGTCTCCGGGAGTGGGTGGGATGAAGGAGGAATTAATGTTTGCAAACGTCCACTATGGGTCAGGCATAGGGCTTTTTACTTTTAATCACAGGGTCCTGCGTCCCGTCCCATCATCCTCAACGTAGAGATGAGAAAACAGAGGCTTCCGGCAGAAAGCCAGACCAGGATGCCCTGCCAAGATCTCCTCTCAGCCAGAGCCAGACCACTAGGGCACCTGCCAACAACCCAGAGGCCTCTCTCACCCTCTGCGCTCGCTCTCGGCAGCCTGCGAGCAGGAAAAAAACACCCCGACTCACGCTGACTCTTCCTCAGCCTCACCAAGGCAGGCCACAAAGGGCCGCTTTCAGCTCCCCGGGCCCCTGAAAGCCCTAGCTTGGGGCGCTGAGCCCTCACCCAGCCAGGCAGCCCTGCCCCCTTTCTCCCCTGCCCCCTTTCCCCCCTCCTCCCTTTCCCCCCTCCCCCATCAGCAAAGCGTGACTCAGCGGTTCTCCTGCGAGGGGCGGGAAGCGCCACCCCTCAGCATCCCTCCGGCCAGGTTACACAAACAGCCTCAGCTCTCCGGGACTAGACGCGGGGGTTCCGCCCCGCGCTGGCCCCGCGCTCCCCGGCCTCGGCAGGGCTCGGGCTACCGCTTGGCCTCGTTTCCGGCGGAGCCAGGCACTAGAGCCGCGGACACCACCCGGGAGTCTAGTCACCGCCGCCAAGCCCACACAGGTTCCCTGACACAGGCACCCACGCGCGCGCCAGCCCCGCGGAACTCCATGCGCAGGGCCCCTCCCACTGGACACCCACCAGGGGACCTCTTGCTACCAACCCACCAACACTTATGCGGCCAGTTCAGCGGCCCCTAGGGAAGGTGCAGCCAGACCCTAACCCAGGAAGGTCTCCAGCCCAAGTGTCCCCACTGCTGCATGCTGACACCCCGCGGCTAGCTGTCCCCATCTTCAATAGAGGATTCGCTCCGCGGGCCCCTGGCTGCGGCTTGGGAGCTGTCCCCCACCATTCTCTGGGCAAGGTGGAGTAGACGGACCCTTGGAAGTCACTGGCCCATCAGCGCTGACCAGCTGGATTCTACCACCTCGGGGTGGGGGTTGGGCTTGGGCCTGTTAGGCCAATTTGGGGGATTTCAAATGCAGGGCGCGTTTGGGATGGCATGTCCCACTTTTTTGGGAAAATTCTGACAGTTTGGGGCCAGCTCCTTCTGTCTCAGTATAACTCACTGGGAATAAAAGACCAAACCCAAACGGCCGCCTTCTCCCACCCACGAGGGGCCCCTGCCTCTGGAGACACAAGGAGGGGCCCAGGACAGCGAGCCTCTGGGGGGAAGGGGGGGAAATCTGGCATTGGATTTTTTTTTTTTTTTCCTGGATCCCTCTTCTTCTCCGGGGAGTGGGCAGCCTAGAAAATTCTGTGGGCTTCGGGCAGGGATGAAATGGCAAACCCAGGATTCTAAGCCACTACATTTTCCCAGATTTCTTCACCACATTAGCCGCAGGAATGGCTTTTTTACAAATGATGGCCAGGGCTGATTCAGGATGCCACCAGGCCTGGGGGCTGAAAGCTGCCTGCCGGAGGGCGGCGCGGAGGAGGGCGCTGGGCAGCGGAGGCCGGCGCCCTCGGGCTCCCTCCCTCCCGGACCCGGGGCAGGGTGGGGTAGGGGGGGGGGGGGGGGGAGAACGACACACAGCGCGCGGTCCAAACCTTCGGAGGGCATTCGGTGCGACGGCATCCCCACGCCGCGGCCGGCCGGAGGGGGCCTCAGACAACACGTACGTTACCTTCAGTCACATAGCTGTGGTCCCGCAGGAAGCTGTGGTTAATTTTCCGCGTGTCCGTGTCCTCGCCCATTGAAGGCCGTGCCCGGTGCCCTGGGCATGCCCCGCCGCCGCACACCGATGCAATCCGCAGAGGTCGCGCCGGGCGCGCGGGCCATGCCGCCGCAGCCTAGCAGGGGCGCGGGCCGCCGGGGCCCCGGGGGGCGGG